TAGAGTCTATCAAACAACTTCACCCAAGAAGAATGAAATTTTCTTTCATGTTATCTGACTGAAATACTTATATTTACCATGCATTTTGTATTATTATTCATGTTGCCTCAGCACAAGCAAAACCATGGGCTCAAGTGCTAGCGCGGAGGAAAAGGGGCGAGCGAGCTCGGGAAAAGGGGGCGTGGCCAAAATCGAGCACGCCTTCGGCGCATCACTGGAACCCCCTCTCCTTTTTTTCTGGATCCGCCACTGCAATGTACATGTACATGTAATACGATACTAGTATTATTAATAATAACAATGACAACAAACAAAAGTGACGTTACATGTATAGGTTATACACCAAGGTAGAGGTTTCTATGGTATTTATTAACCGAGCGACGCAGTCGCGAGGTTAATAAATGCCATAAAAACCGATACGTTATAAATAAACTACACTGTTGAGGGTTACTGGATATACACGAGGACGTTAGTTGATTTAGAAGCCGAGGCTTCTACTGAAATCAACTAACATCCAAGTGTATATCCAGTAACACGAAACAGCTGTAGTTTATCTGGTTTGTACTACAGTGTGTGGGTGTATGATAGGCACTGTGTCTAACTACCAGAATTGGCAGTTAGATGATGGCTTCTAACTACCCTGCTGTGGTCTACACTATATAAACTCGTGGTGGTGCCTTTGATACACCCACACACTGTAGTACAACGAGGTGACCAACTTCTATCATGACATTTGAAAACAACTACCAGCTGCTGATAATAAGACCACAGTTGACATACATACATCGTATCTAATAAGCTAGGCAGTAAGGAATCAACCAAGCTTGACAAATGGACTAATAAGAGCATAAGCATAGGCGCCAGGTTTTGCTTATTTTATTTAATAAACCAAGAGGTTAATAAGTGTTCCCGGGAGGCCTAATAATAGAAACCTGGTATTCTGCAATCTGATTGGTCAATTACAACTAGGCATGATAGAATATTATTTATTACATCTGATGAATCATGATTTATTCTTAATAATCAATTATTGTAATAGTATTATACTTAAGTTCAGGTATGTAACACTCACCAGTAGCAGTACTGTGTACATCATGGGTTCCATGTTCTATGTAATATATAAAACATGACCCCGAGTGGTGTATCAGATATACACGAAAATGATATTCATAATCCCTCGGGCTACGCCCTCGGGATTATGAATATCATTTTCGTGTATATCCAATACACCCACGAGGAAAAGGTCATGTTCTATATGGCTTGTATAATGGGAAGCCATAAGAAGGAAAGGTTATGCGCATGCTCAGTAGCACGTGGTACAACTGTAATGGACCAATATGGCTGAAGGAGAAGGAGAACCACGAGAAAAAGCAGCAAAAGAAGCGAATGAAAATGTGTAAAGCGCTCAATAAAGGTTAGCCTTCATTAGTACTGATGAAATGGAAGAAATTAGTACAGGTTTTGAA